TTGCGACAGTCGCATAGAAGTGACTTTGTATAAAAATGCAACTCAAGCGAGCTACACCGACACATTTTCGCACTAAATGGCGCTTCTACGATAATTTTGTCGATGTGAGCATCATTTATAAGTACACACTGCACTGAAATTTTCCAAAAACTCATTTTTAACCATATCCAATTTTGCTTTTATCTTTCTACACCATTACCTTAAAGAACCAAAGATTCTTTTTTCAAAGGCCTCACGTTAGCTCAAGGCCAATTTATATTTACCGTTGGAGAAATCGAGCAACTATCGCTTAATTCCTAAATGCAGTACTGTAGTTTAGTTCTAAAACACAATATATTTTAGTAATCACAATGAAGAGAAAACAAAAAATATATAAAAATGAAAATATAGCTAAAATAAGAAAAATTTCAAATCTCTCACTAAACGATAACGACGGAGCTATCGACCGCATATATAACTTTGCAGAACTGTATAGATATCCGTATGATTAATTACATATCGTTTGACGTTTCTATTTCAAGGTCGTAAAGACTCGATAACTTCCACTATCGTGGCGATTTGCTGTACAATGATAGTATATATCGATAAATGGACAGAACTCACGAAACGTCATCAAGTTGTATTCCTTAAGTAAAATGCATAACCTCCACCTTAATATATACGTAAAAAATATAATAATTGTAAAGGGTTTTTCAACAAGAACTTTGTTTTGTAAATAAAAAAAAAATCAATTTAGATGACAATGAAAAATGACATCTGATAAATGTCCACCATGACCACAGTTACAGATGTCGATTCTTTTATCAAAGTTTTTAATCACTTTTTGATAAAATGGTGGGTCTATTTCGTTAATCACTTCACGAATTTTGGGTTTTAAGGCTGCAATCGATTCGATTGGCTCCGTATAGACTCTGTCTTTAATATAACCCCATAAAAACTAATCCAGCGATGTTAAATCACATGATCGAGTTTGCCACTTAACGGCTGAATTTGGTGAAATTAGGCTATCAGGAAATTTGGTCGGCAATAAATTCATTGTTTCGGTGGCTGTGTGATTTGTGCCTTTGGCATTGGGCCGTTTTTTTTTCGATAATTCGGCTGGAAATGCGGTTACAGTCAATGGATTACGCTATCGAGAGATGTTAACAACTCAATTTTGGCCTATTATTGATATGGATGTCACTAACATGTGGTTTCAACAAGACGGTAGAAAAAATATATTCTGCACCAACAGGTGCCCGACTTCGTCTGCGTAGAATAAATGCTTCGAGTGGCTAACTGTATTATACTAAGTTTTATAGTTTTATTAGTTCTCCGTACAAACTTTCGTCGTCTATTTCAACCTCTTCAATATTCATTTTTATGGCAAAAAGTAGCCTATGTCCTTTTCCTAGGTAATAGATAGGAATCTATCTCTAAATCAGAAATCATCACAGTTAATTCAACGATTTAGGCGTGAAAATGTAACACAGTTACTTTCGCGTTTAGAATATTAGATTAGATTATGTGTTAAGCAGAGTTGTGCTTAAACTAAGCAGAAACTTGTATTACAGGATACCGGGTCGCTCATCACGGATTGTAGATAAGTCGTGACATAGACATAGACATACTTTTATTGGCACGAATACAACAACACAAAACCACACTAAAACAGTTTACATACAAATAAGTAGGTATATGACTTATAATTACAAGTAAAAACTAAAACAATGATGCACAGTAGACAGTAGTATGGCCTGTGTTGTAGCGTCATGCCAACACGGGACTTATTTCAGCATATGCTGCAGTAGCTTTACCACAGCGCTGATTTTCAGTAAACCCGTAGAGCTCGACGCCAGAAATTCATTAAAAAGAAAAGAATAAAACTAAAAATAAGACTAAAAAGTCGTTGAAAGACCAAGTACAAAGACACGACGCAAGCACATAGAAAAATTCGTGAGGTCGGTTGGTTCGTTCCGTGGCTTAGTTGGTATAGCGTCTGACACGGTATGCAAGAAGACGTCGGTTCGAATCCGACCGGATCTAAGGAATTTTTTCTGAGTGTTTTTTCTGAGTGTTCGATTTTTGTATTAATAATTATAACAAACTAGTGGAGTATTTTCACAAAAAAAATAATTGAATATCAATTCAATAAAAATTTAATTAAAAGAATAAAAAATAAAAAATAAATTAGAAATATTAGTGCTTTCTTTTTACTATTACTATCATATAATATGCAAATAAATATATATAAATATAAATAAGATATATTAGCGAAAATTACATAATACTTATATTTAAATGATATGAAATTACAGAGCTATACCCTATCAGCGAACCTTTTACCTCGAAAATGCTGGAACAACCCGGCCGCCCACGGACAACTCGGCCTGGTATGATGTTAATAGTTGTTTTATTTTGCTTTTAAAAGAAAAGAACGACTTTACTTCCCTCATAGGCGGCCTCATAGGTGACCTAATAAGTTGGTGAAGTTAAGTTCAACGAATTAAAAGGAATAATCCTTATTTTATAAGGTTAATGTAAGAAAGTAATTTTAATCTATCAACTACATTGTGGTGAGTGCGCGCGGGCATGCGTTCGTGCATTTGAGTGTACGCATATGCGTGTGAGTAGGATTGTTGCTGTAACTTAGGTTTTATTGTAAATACAATCATTTCGTGATTGACTTGAGCTTCACGTTTAGTGAGGAGTACCATTTTTTTAATAATATTAAGCAACGGCACAAACAAATCGTGCGCCTGATGTTAAGCTACACGTCTTTCCATAACAGTTGCAGTGCTACTCAGAGCTTAAATCACTTTAAATCACAAAGCTCTGAGGGGCGCTGCCACTGCGCCCGCCACCCTGAGACAAGTTGACAAGTCCCATGTGCCTGTAATTTCACCATATTTTACAAACTGTACAAAATTGTAGTCTATCGTTTGAAAACTTTACTTGATTATAAAGTGTGGAAACGATTAAATCGAATCGTCTACGCTCTACAGGTAACTTCAAAGATATTGAATACTGTCTTTATACACCTAAATTTCCCTATAAATATCTAAATATATCTCGTATACGTTACCTATTTAGTGACCTAAAGGACACTGATAGGCAGGCTTGACTGCCCCTCTATAGCAAGATATAATGCGAATAATATTGGAAGTGTATTGAATACATATTGAATAGCGAGATGATACGTCTACCCATTTTCTTGGGGTAGCATCCTTTGGCATTCAATTTTAAAAAGGTCCTCATGTCATAGAAATTGCGTGAATGTGATCGATCTATCAAATGGTGAGTTTTTCAATACGCTTACCTTCGCTAATACTGTTATAATGAATTATCTAACAACGTGTATTGATCGAAAGATGGAACGTGTTCAGTTATTAGGTCATTTACAAAGGCACTCGTAACGCAATGGCGCAACGTGACACTGCCACTGGATGGAAAGCTATTGTATACAATCCTGAATCCAACAAACACGCCATGCGGCGTGGTTGTGTGCGTGTTAAAATTGCGCTTGTCTCACTTCGCGTAGTGTCGCAGTAAAAGAATTCTTATTTTATAGCAATAATATATTATTTTTCTATTCCGTCAATTATAATTCCATATACCGTATCATAAAAGCGCTCTTTTTAGTTCTGAATCAAAATTCTATTGTCTATGGTACTCGTAAATGAGCTGAAAAATGTCATTAAAATTATTAATACATTGATCGAACACTCAAAAAAAATTCCTTCGATCCGGCCGGATTCGAACCGACGTCTTCTAGCATACCGTGTCAGACGCTATACCAACTAAGCCACGGAACGAACCAGCGGACTTCACGAATTTGTATTTAGTTTTTCAACAGCTTTTTAGTCGTAGCGCCATGTATGAGAAATCTATGAAAGTTTTATCACCCAGTTATATACCTTCGCAGCTACCAACCCTGGCGATTCACTGTATTACTAGTGGAGTAATTTTACAAAAAAATTATTGAATATCAAATGATTATCACTAGTATCAGGTTTCTTACCACGGTATGACTTCTTTTTATTTTCCCGATATTTCGGAACGGTTGCACGCTCCATGGTCACGGGTTGATACAACTCAAAGTGTCAAGACTTTTACAATTAAATAACAGTAGCAGTTATCGCTACCAACCGCGTAAAATGTTTGTATTAAAAATGTTGTTTCTTCATGTGCCCCAGAGACGCTGTATAATTTCCCATACAAACTTATGAAGTAATTTACGCTTTGACTTTTACCACGAAATTACTGTGACAACCGTCAGAGTAAACTCGGGGTAGAGGCACAGGTACACGCTGTCACAGGAATTCGGACAGTCGTCCCCTCAATTGAAAAGCTATCGTCTCCCGTCGTGCTGCCATCGCTTTTCAGATCGTAAAAGAGGAAAAACAAATCGAGTGCTTAGGTTTTCGCGATTTTTACACATTGGAAATGAAATCTCAGTCAGACGTGGTCATAGGACCTATAAAGAGTGAAACGTTGTTTTGTTTAAAATATACACAATTCCGATCCATTCAGAAAAAATAGTTTAATTTCCTAGGAAAAACAAATTTGAAATAATTTATGCATAGCAAAATTTTTTTTAAACTTGTCAAGTTTAAAGTCAAAGTACAACTTTACCACCGGAAAGTAATATCCCAGCCAACTGTAAAACTATGTTACAGTGGCAGTTAAATCCAAAAATAAAAATGAACATCTTTAACTCTAGTCGCGCGCAGTAGATCGAGTCGAAACAGTGTCACTAGACAATGTGTCTACCACAATGTCGTATGGTTCAATTTGGGTGTGTTTAAAAACGCTATCTAATTAGAAAGTTGGTCCACGTAACTAAAATGCAGCGTAGCAGTGCATCCCTTGCACCGAGGGTGAATGACCACGCATGCGCCGTACCTCCTCCTTTTTTGGACTAAATAGCCAACGAGCTGTCTTACGCGTTCATACTGTCTAACTGCGATCAAATTTCGATCTTACTATGTAACGAACTGGATCCCTTTGGAGGTGCGTTCGGTGGCTGGATACGGACGGCAGTGCCTCGCCGGTCGCCAAAGGCTGCGCGCGTACAATACATTGTCTGGTTTTTTTCGCGGCGAAAAGTTTTCGAACTTCTCTCGACGGCTTCTAAATTTGAGTGCGTTATATATTTTGTTTGGATGCCAAAACATTCTGTTGTGTGTACTGGATTATGTGGTTGGATTTTTGAGTTCTGGACATAATGTGGTGTTGAACTATGGTGAGTTTTACAATACAAGTTTAAACCACGTTGCTCCTAACAGGCGGATTGTACAAAAAAGGCAATTGTCTTTTTAGGAAATAACTACATCTGTTTCTTACTCCATTGCGTTTATTTCAACTTGCAAAATACTTGAAACCAAGTTAAATAATTCCTTAAAAATTTGTTGTCGCCGTTGTAACATAAAAATACATTTTAAATGATATATTCACTTTAAAATCAGATTCATTCGTGATTATTTCTCAATAGATATTATTATCACTCAATTACAAAATATAAGCTAATAATCGCATTAGAAATAAAATATGAAGTTAATAATTAGTCGAAGAGTTAACGAATTAATTAGTTATCTTTCTGTTTTCCAGTTAGTACGGCTTCTTTATGAATTAACATAAAGTCAGCAAAATGTTACTAATTAGTTTCCTTTTTGGAGAAGTAAAACATAAATTAAACTTCCTTGCGAATACTTCTTCGGACTTTAAACTTATTCCATACTTATTTTAAGTCTTTTTGTCCGTTATGATTATGACATAAATTAAATAAGTGTATGTTATTAACTTATATAACATTAAGACTGATTTGTACACAGCGTTATTGCGTTTTGTTCAAAACCTTTAAAGAAATACAAGTACCACTGTGTTGCGAGCACGATAAACTTGACACTTGAGATTTAAGTTGAACTCTATTCTATGCCGCTTATGATAAGAACGATTCAAAGTCAAAAGATCAAAACTTTGTCATAAAAGAATATGAACGTGTATAGACGTACCACATATTCTGAGAATTAATAATAACAAAAAAAACAACGCCATCGTATCAACCCCTTATACCTCACGCTGTAGGGCACGGGACTTTTTTGTTTTATAGCCCCACACAAGGGAAACCCGGTATCGCTGGTGCCATGAACACACTTATAGATAACCACAAAATACAACCAAACTCACGAGAGAAATAAATGTAGATTACACAAATTCTTCTCCCGGCCCGGGACCTCTGCGTGGCAGACCATGGTGATAACCGTCCGGCCACCGAGGGTCACCTCCAAGATTCACTCGCGCTTGAGAGTTTTAAATGTTCTCCATAGGAATTTAGGAACTGGGCAGACTCTGTTAATTTGGCGTCGAAAAGTGAGCGTGTCTTACAGCTCCGCCACCAATGAGGAGATTTGGTAGTCGATTTAGAATCGGCGGCTTAGCAGTGGCAACCGTTAGTCGTGCGAGGCGCGACGGGAAGTGAGCGTGCCTACAACTCCGGTACTGTACGTGCACCCGGGTCCCGGAACGGCTCACCTAAGGCACTACAGAAAACCAGATGAAGTCCATGCAAACGTCCGGGGTTAGGACCTGACTTAGATGGTCCCTATGCGGGTTCGCTCGCACAGGTCATAGTGCCTTTCTCGCCTAACCGAGAGGTTGATAGGGAGGAGCACTATAAACAAAACTTGTGTACCTACAAATACACGGCACTGTTCTCCATAGGTTGTGAATCTTCCTCGATATACAGGTTCAGTTAGCAAGAGGTACCTATAGTATACAATTAAACATTCAAAAGGTACGTAACTTAGGTATTAGAGTCACATCAATTGCGAAACAGTTGTTGTTTTAAGAAGTGACGATAAATAATTAGCTTCTTTTGAACAAAACATATAAATGATAACCCTAAACTATAATTCAGCTTAACCCATCGTGTATACGCGCCCACACCTACATAAACTCAGCAGGGATTCTCCCTAACAATATCTGTGTGAAACGCTCCCCGCATGTCAGGTGCAGGCGGGGCATAGACAATAGCCTTGCGAGGGTATTACCGCAGTTGATACTGCTGTAAACTGTGACAAAAAGATTAAATTGATGGTTTAAATTGTAAGAATGGATGCTGTACCTTACTCTTTGAATTCCGAAAACCCGCCCAGAGAGTCCAGCCGTTCTGTTACGCGTGTATATCTTTTGTAATATATTAAGCGGCATAACAACAGGCTACCTGGTGAAAAATAGTAAATTGTGATTAAGGGCGGTAGATAAGAAGTCACTAACGAGAGTTTGTTACTAGCCCGAAGCCAAAGGCTGAAGGCTTTAATGACTTGAGGTTTGTGATTATTACCGCCCGTTGCATATACGATGTTTTTCATCACATTTGCGAGGAAATGCATACGACGATAATTTATTTCTTGTATGCATAATTATCGCTTCACAACACATGTACGGATTTTGCAAGTGGCGGGTTTTTTTTTAAACAGGTCGCCAGCTATTCTTCCATAGATAGTAAAACTCGAACTAAAATGTTATGTAAAGACACAGACGCATGCGCCTACTAAATTCCAAAAAATACTGCAGAATTTGAATTCGCAAAATAAAGACGGATGGCGGCATCCCGTGTATTTTGTGACCTAGTGTTTTTGACGACGTGCATTAAAGAGACTAATCAATACTTATGATTCATTATCAAAGCATCGAAAAAGCTAATTGAGTACAGCCTGTAGAAGCTGGGGTTTTAAAGTTGATACAGGTTATGTTTATAACATTGTCCTGTATTTTGCTTCAGATGTTTGTCCGTAGTAGCAGATAACAACAAGTTTTCACATTATTCCTAAAAATAATAAAAATATTTCTAAATCTGCCACATTTAATACAACGTTAACATGTTCTGTCGCAATGAAAATTAAATCTGCCCAAATGGCAGACATCTGCCACAAACGGTCACACTGTTCTCAAACTCAAACTGACATTGACATTGGCAAGAGGCATCTTGTCAAAAAGTTCCTTTGCTAACTTTCGTATCTCTCATTTAAATATTGTCTACACATTTTTGTCGCATTGTGTTTTATTTTTTACTTTATAGCATTATTGTTTAATTAATTATTTGATTAGGTATTTTGTAGCTTTAATGTTTTATGTGTGTACTATAAAATAACCAATACTTCAGGTAGGTAAACATTCAATCATGCTTAAAATGAAATGTACGTACAAGAACGTTACCTAATCTATGGTCGAATTGAATCAATTGCGTTGTGTTCTTGCATTTATTCTAAAATGCACTGTTTTGCAATTTCGTTATTCCCGACTTTGATGTTGATTTTGGGTCAGCTTTCGCCATCCTTCTTTAGTGAAATATAGTTAAAATGCAAATGTTTAGTTTTTTCCATCCGTCAAGTTTATGCGAAACATTATTTTGTTCAGATTTTTCAAGCATAAAAACTTTTTGCTTAATCTTGACGTAAAAAGTCCGTAGGGCGATAATGTAATGGAAAAGTCCATGGGCATAATAAAGGATATTACGGCTTTGCCCGTATGCCATGACACCGTTTACGAGCAAGTGTGATGAAAACGCCATTGTATATTATATAATCATCAGAATTCTAATGCAATTGGCTCGCTACTGCAGCGCCTCGGGTATTTTCGCCGAGGTGGGTGAGATCAGAACTCGTAAAGCCTCGTTCTGGACTCAAGGGCCAGAGCCCAATATTGAGCTCTTTAGTGGAGAACGTAACTAGTTCTATGTTTTGGCACTGGATCACCGTGTACTGCACTGGCAACGTTAGACGACGGCTACTTTATTTTATCATATATTTTTTTGTCCAATGGCATAATTTTGTATGAAGAGTCTATGCAATCTGAAATGGCTTTGGTTGAAAGAGAAAGTGTTAAATCAATCACTTTATGAAAACACGATTCCTAAAAGTTTTCACAATAGAAAAAAACAAACTTATCTCGAAATTTTACAAGAAAAACGCTGTATTCAATAAGTACTAATGACTTTTTTTGTATCAACTGAACTAAATAGACACGTGTACTTTACGATACACATTTTATCAAATGGTTTTAATTTCGTTTATAAAAAAAATAATTCTGAAATAAAGCCAGTGTCCCTAACGCTCGACCCAAGCAAAACGAACCGTATTGGTACGGGAAAAATTTGAATTCTTAAGTTTTATCGTTAAGTATGTAATCGTATTATTATTTAATGATTTTACAACATTGAATATAAACGTGTGACCTTATTTGGATAGGTGCACAACCCTACCACTAGTGTAGTATTAAACAAATGAACGAAAGCAATGCGAGGTGGCGGTGGTGGTGCCGAGCATTGCGGAACCCGCGGGAAAGTTAAGTCCGTTGCTAACTATACATACAGAACCTGTGAGTATAACTGATCCCCGATACTAGAACGTCTTGGGTAGACGTTCTAGTATCTAAAAGTCTGAAAAGTGTGTGTGTGAATTGAATAATGGAGTATAAAGGAATGGCTTTTAAAGACATTGTATTTTGACACCAGTTATGTGCTTTTCTGTAATAATAAACACTTTATTTCAGGTATGCCCATAATTACAATACAGAAAAAAGCAATTTTGAAAATTTTGAAGCGAATTATAAAACATTAATTTAAAATAAAAATATAAATGTCAAAATTGACAATTGAATAAAATTGCACAATTTTTTTTACAACATTTTCTTTTGTATGTCGTTCCTTGTTATTGTATTTAACCCTAGAAAGATAACCATATTTCATAGTACGTTAAAGATAAGTCGATACGACGTGTTACCGTTCAAGTACTCATAATTTTGATTGTGTGTATATTTTTTTGTACCTGTGGTAATGTATCAATTAAAGAGCCATTCTGCTAAACTCAAACTCAAACTCAAAATAATCTTTATTTCATAGGTAAGCATTATTACACTTGAAATCGTCACAATGGTTAAACTCTACCGCTCATTCGTAAGGCAGATTCCCCTGAGAAGAATGAGCAAGAAACTCTAGGGGTTGCCCTTTGTAAATAGCATTTACAATATTTTTTTATTTTTATTTGAAACATCAGAGATCGAGACTACCTCCATGAGCTAAACGGGTTATTACCACGGATTTTTGTCATCCAAGTACGCAGAAGTTGTATAATAACCTTTAGTATAAAGTTTTTGTTTCACTAAAGTTTTAAACCTCGTGAAAGGCAAATTTTGTATATCAACCGGAATCTTGTTATAGAAGCGTATACATTGCCCCTTAAT